TTACAGTAGTTATTACTTTAATGTATTAGATTTCATTTAGATATCACTTGTTTTTATTTTGTTAAAAATGTGGCAATCCTTATGTTGAAACCATTGAATTTTTATCTAGTTTCCTTTATTCATTTATTAATTTTTCATGTATATACTGATATGCAAGGTAGAGGGTGTCACATTTAAACCATGCTCTCTTATTACAACTCAAACACACTAAAATGAGAGAGATATAAAGATTTGCACAAGTGTGAGATTGTATAGTTAAGGGTGACTTAAAGAAATTAATTTGTGCTATTTAAACCAACAAGATGCATCTACTTTTTAGTAGCTCACACAAAAGAACTTCATAGTTAAGTGTGTTTGGCTTTGAGTAATTTGAGGATGGGCGACCTTCTGAAAAGTTTCTAGAAAGCGTGGGAATGAGAACAAAATACATTAAAATGTCTTGTGTTGATTTATGGGGTCAGTCATTGATCCCACAAGCAGAAGGACATTTAAAAAAATAAAAATAAAATAAAAAAAGGCTACCCACGGAGGCTTCTGATCGATGAAAGGTTTTGACTAATGAGGAGTTATGTAAAGCGTCACCATATGAAGTATCGTGGAGTGGATCACTAAGAGATCAATTCTAACGGGTGTTACACTAGTATATCTCAAATCACCAATACCAACCTTGATGTTTTGACTCCAAAGAAGGTACAACAATTTGTTCTCTTTCCTCTCTCTACCTTGGGCATCCATGTAAGTCTATTGAATCTTCTACACAATGGTTTGTGAATTTAGGTGCTTCTAACCATATGAGTAGATCCCCTAAACATTTACATAATTTACATCCTTAAAATTGTAATCAAAATGTTCAAATAGTTGATGGTAACAAATTATATTTCTTCTGTTAGTGACATTAATCCTTTATTTTACCAATGTATTTGTGACCCCTATGTTGGCTTCCAATTTAATTTCAATTGGAAAATTGGTGGATAATAATTTTATTACTAATATCTCTGGCGCTAGTTGTTCTATGTAGGATGAAGTGTCGAGGGAAGTGATCGCAAATGAATCCAGGGTGGATAAATTATTCCTTCTACAATTTCATTCCCCTAGTTTTTCTTCCTTTACTTGTACTACTATCCCACATTCATATGAGAATTGGCATAATAAATTGGGTCATCTAAACTTTATTGTTTTCTCTCATTTAATAAAAATTAAATTTTTAGGGATAAAAAATATCATTTATGACTCATTGTTTAAATGCTCTATGTGCAAACTTGCCAAAAGCAAAACTATCACTTTCTGCTCTCCCCAAAATGTTCATCGTGTTGAATTTATTCTTTTTGTAATTATTCATAGTGATGTTTAAGGAATGCCTCAAGTCTTGTCTCATTTATAAATATTTTGTGACATTTATTGATCACTACACTCGTTTCAATTGGGTTTACTTTCCATGTTCAAAAGCTAAAGTTTTTACAATATTTAAGAATTTCCTATCTTATATTGAGAACCAATTTCACACTAACATTAAGATTTTATGCGCTAAGTTTGGTGGGGAATATATTTCTCAATATTTTCAAGAATATCTTTAGCAAAAAGGTATCATGTCCTAAGGTTCCTATACACCTCAACAAAATGGCATTACCAAATGTCAAAATTGACATTTGCTTGATGTCACACGTTCCTTTCTTCTTGCAATCTCTATCCCTTCTTAATTTTGGTTGAAGTTCTTTCAACAACTGTCTTTCTAATCAATCACCTCCCTTCCCAAGTTCTCTAGTTTGATTCTCTTTCCTTTGACCTCTTTCTTGTACATCCTGATTATACTAATCTCCATCCTTTTGGTTGTGTGTGTTTTGTCCATCTTCCACCACCTAAACGTAATAAACTAGGGGCTCAATATATCATGTGTGTTCTTTTAGGTTATAGTACAAATCATAAAAGATTCTTATGTTATGATGTTATTTCTCATCATTTACGCATCTCGAGGAATATGGTTTTCTTTGACCAACAACATTTTTTCTCATGTTCTAGTCCTTCTCCTAATGATTTTGTTACACTTCCTAATTTTCTAATGTTTCTCATTCTATAGAAAATTTTAAACCAGGTAAAGTTTATATCAAGCGCAATTCTATGTTGACCCTTCTTGCTCTCAATTTTTCACCTACTCCTTTACAAGTAGCTTTATGACATTCACTATAGGTGTCTCACCCTTCTTACTCCTACATGTTAAAGATGTTTGTTGGGTCAAGGTAATGAATGATGAATTCAAGCCCTTCAAGAAGATTTCACTTGGGACATTGCTCCTCATCTTCTTAGTGTTAAGCACAGTGGTTGCAAATGGGTTTATTCAATAAAGTTGAATTCAAATGGCACGCTTGATTGTTACAAAGCCTGTTTATTCTCTTTATGGCTTGCATCAAGCTCCAAGAGCATGGTTTGACAAGTTTCAAACTACTCTTCTTGGTTATTCATTCACTTAGAGTTGTTTTAACTCTTCCTTGTTCATTCATCAGATACCCACTTCTATCATTCTTCTACTTATTTATGTTGAAGATATGATTATTATTGGTTCTAATCATGCAACCATTCAACAGATTAAATAGAAACTCCAAGTTTCTTTTCATATGAAAGACCTTGGTGGTCTTCATTATTTCTTAGGCCTTGAGGTTTGTTATGGTTCCAAGAGAGTTTTCCTTTGTTAACATAAGTATACTATAGACTTGTTTTTTTTTTGCTGGTCTTGCTTTTGTTGAATCAGACGAAGAAATTCTCACCAAGGTTTTGAATGAGACAAATATAATACATATTGTTATTTCTAATATGTGTGTTAGTGTTTCAGAAAACATTAGTACAGGAAAGTAAAGAACAAAGCATGTGTATATGTCACTCCCTAACACCAGACGAAGCCAAGCCTAACACAAAAAGAAGACGATCAAGTATCAAACAATACAAATGAGTCAGGGCAAAGCACATCACAAATATCCAAACGAGAGTCAACTATGCATCAAACGAAAGATAGCACAAACTGAAAGACACTCCAGACGGAAACAATGTCTGTCTATCCACATTATTGACCAGATCAAAGAAAAATCAAAGCATGAAACTCAGACGCTGAGACGAAGGACAAGATTGAGATGCATAGGACCACCAGACAAAGATTTCATGGAAGGTTTCAAAGGAACAAGATTCGAGGAATGAATCAAACATCGTCTATACCCATAAAAGGACTTACGAGCCTATCAAATGGTGAAAAAAAGAAGAAATAAGAAAAGTAAGCACAAAAACGTCAAATCACGAGTGTGTCAGAAAAAGGACACCTATTTTTCTGATAAAGATAACGTCTCTACAGCTAATTCCTAGGTCCTTGTGAAAGTCATAAACTACAGATTCAGAATAATACACACATTGTCTATAAATAGGAAGCAACATTTAATGCAAGATCAAATGCATTAAATGTAAGGATCAAACTAGTCATGAACGACTACATCTACTTAAACCGACACTTGCAATGGGCAAATTCTACAAGACTATATATATATATCACTACTTCAAACCTTGAAATGTTAGCTTTTCGAATACGAACAAAAAGTAATATCAAGCCCATATAGCAACGAAGCCAGAGACAGAGCATATAGAGTCAAATGTACCTTAGTGTATTTCGCTCTGTAGACTAAGGAGTTCTAAGTGTAACTTAAGAACGTGTACCTTAGGGAGTATAACAATTTATGTACCCTCTCTGTGAGAGTAAACCACACTCGATCGTTGCAAAAACTAAGGATGCAAACCGTAGTGAGTGTGCCAACTTATGTATCCTCTCTATGAGAGTAAGTTAAACACTCAAACCAAAATTGCCTAGTTGATATTTGTAAAGCCTGAAGAGGATAGGTAAATAATACTTGTAAAGCCTGGAGAGGCTAGTCAAAAAATACTCACTGCTAGCCAGAAGTGACTGATAAGAATATACTAGCATCGACGAGTGAAGCCGACGAGCCAGGAGGTGGTCGAGAATACTCACTACTAGCCAGAAGTGGCTAATAAGAAAATACTAGTGCTGATGAGTGAAGCTAGCGGGCTAGGAGTAGTCAAGAATATTTAGGAAACTAGAAGTGATTTAAGAATACTAGAGCTGGTGAGTGAAGCTAGCCAACTAGGAGTGATTGAGAATACTCGTGACCAGGAGTGGTCGTAACCTGGGTGGTCTATAATACTCACTACTAGCCTGAAGAGGCTGATAAAAAAATACTAGCGTTGATGAGTGAAGTCAACGGGCTAGAAGTGGTCAACAATACTTTTGTACTAAATTGCATATCTAGTGGAACCCTTCAGTTGAAGGAGACTGGACGTAGCTCGGTCTGAGTGAACCAGTATAAAATAGCTTGCACTATTAATTCCTATTTCTCATACGCATATCTTCATTACTGGTTAAACCTTTGTGAAAAAATTCGTCCACCCTGAATCTCTTAGTGAAATCATTTTTCAGACGCAGACACAAACTTTGTTTAATAAATATTTAATACACTGAAGAGTTTTATCCACTGCTTATCTTTATATGAAACTATCTTGAAAAGGAAAATGCAAGAACTTTAATCATAATTGTTATATGAAACATTTTCCTCTAGCAGACGATAATTCTTTCAAACGTAATGACCTTGTGTTAAGCAAATTCTGCATAACCGTCTGGTATCTAAAAGTGCATTGGACGAAAAACATTATTCTTGCAAAATGGTTTAAAATTCCTTCGTACTCACACATACATATTCAACCCCCCTTCTATATGTTTCATGTCTAACTTCAACTTTAACCAACCCAATGGATACTACTCTTGAGGTTAAGGTAAAGTATTATCGTGATGAGGGCGATATATTATGTAACCTTTTATTATATTGTTAATTGGTGGGTAGCCTCAATTATTTGACCCTTATATTCCCTGACATTACCTTTGCAAGGCCAACAAGTGAACCAAACCATGCACATGTTAGAAAAGAATAGCACAATCCAAGAGGGGGGTGAATTGGATGGAAAAGCTGTCCTTTAAGTTGATGGAGCTTATAGCTCTGAGCTTAGGCCTTGAGCCAAAGAGGTTTGAAGAGTTTTTCATCAAAGAACAAACTAGCTATCTTCGATTCAACTACTACCCTCCATGTCCTTACCCTCACCTTGCTCTTGGTCTTGGTCGACACAAGGACGCCGGTGCCTTAACTGTTCTTGCCAAAGATGACGTTGTTGAAGGGCTTGAAGTTAGACGCAGAGCAGATCAAGAGTGGGTTCGAGTGAAACCTACACCAAATGCTTACATAATCAATGTTGGGGATATCATTCAGGTACCGGTAACTATAAAGACTAAATATGTTAACATTTTACTGACTTTAAAATATTGGGTATGTCGAATGTGGAATCCAAGTTTATGAAATATTTAATCCCTAAGTTAGGTGATTACGTATTGGAGTTGTTTATGCAGGTTTGGAGCAATGACGCGTATGAGAGCGTGGAACACAGAGTGATAGCTAACACTGAGAAAGAAAGGTTTTCCGTTCCATTCTTCTTCCACCCAGCGCACTACACCATAGTCGAGCCTTTGGAGGAGTTGACAAATGAGAAAAACCCTCCAAAATATAGGCCATACAACTGGGGCAAGTTTCTTGTCCGCAGAAAAGGCAGCAATTTCCAGAAACTGAATGTGGAGGTCATTCAAATTCACCACTTTAAGATAGCTTAAATGATATTTCAGATTCTGATAATTTATTGCCTTATGCATGTAAAAGCAGACTGATCTAATTAAGAATGTTTATGATCTGAGTCTGTTATCTAGTTTGCTGATAAACCTTAATTGTCTGAATTATGTATGCCAGTGGCATAGAATAAAATAAAAAAAGAGACATCGTTATCGTACTCATCTAAAAGATAGCCCGTAATCGGTTTTATTGCACTGATTGTGGATGGTAGTGTCATGGGATCTCCTACATTGGCGTGTTTTGGAGGGCTTTACAAATACCATAACGGGGAGTTTCTGCTGGGTTGCTATGGTTGCTTGGAGCAGCATCATATGCTGTATGTAGAGATTGCAACCCTGTTAATTGAAATGAAGGTTTTGGGGTGCAGTCATGAGATGAGCTGGTGTGTTACTCGAACTCATTGGCTCGTAAATATGGTTAAGGAAAGGCCATCATCCTTTCATAAGTACTTAATCGAAATACACTTGGTTCGGGGCATTTTGGTCTCAATAAATAAAAAAATAAATATTTACTAAAATATAGTTTTTAAAATTATTTACTAAAATAAATTATTTTAGCCACCGTGGTAGGATTGAAAGAATTGCTGCAAGCACCTATGATATATCTGTCAGGATTGAAAGAATTTCCAGAATTTGTCACATGGTATGACATGTTCGGATGTTATTATAGGTACAAACTTCTTCTCAAGATGTTGCAGGTACCAATGACACCGTAGCCATAGTTGATTTCCATTCGTTAGTATCTAAAGTCCAATAAGCATATATTGAGTTGAGTTGGTATATAATAGACGGAAACAAAAGGTTCATATGAAAAAATATAACTAAATGAGCTTTTGCTTAAGCTTCTAAAGATAATTAAGAGCACATGAACAATTATTTGATCCGTATCAAAGTTTGCATTAAATCCCTTACAAACTAATGGATGGAAACAAATAGCATGTCTTTCTACTAAAATGGGTTGGAATGCCTGTATATTTAATCTATGCAGAGTAGGTGCTCTATTCAACTATAGAGGATGTCCATGCATAACTTCTTAAAGTACTTCCCAAACAATTGGTTCTTTTTTTCAAGTTTTATTCTTAGCAATTCCTATGTTTGGAGCAAAATATTTTTTAGTTAGATCACGAATTAGAAATGTCTTGTCCTTTAAGTTGATGGAGCTTATAGCTCTGAGCTTAGGCCTTGAGCCAAAGAGGTTTGAAGAGTTTTTCATCAAAGAACAAACTAGCTATCTTCGATTCAACTACTACCCTCCATGTCCTTACCCTCACCTTGCTCTTGACTCAAAGGGTGAAAACGGCTTCAGCTCTGCTTCAGGTTCCCTGCCAGGCTCAGCTTCCACCTGTGGTGGCTGATCCTCATCGTGGGACGGAACACCGTCTTCATCAGTTGCCTACTCCGGAGTAGAGGGTACATCACCTTTAAACACCCATTTGTCTTCTTGTTTAAGCATCCCCATGTGATGCAATGAAGACTTCTCTATTTTGTTTGAAGCATGCAAAATTATTTTTCTTTCCCCAGATAAATCTACACCAGCAATTTCAAAATCTTAGACAACAAAAGATCATAAGGAATTGGGCCGTCTTCCTTCCGCCTAGCCTTCCACCTAGACGCAGAGCAGAACAAGAGTGGGTTCGAGTGAAACCTACACCAAATGCTTACATAATCAATGTTGGGGATATCATTCAGGTACCGGTAACTATAAAGACTAAATATGTTAACATTTTACTGACTTTAAAATATTGGGTATGTCGAATGTGGAATCCAAGTTTATGAAATATTTAATCCCTAAGTTAGGTGATTACGTATTGGAGTTGTTTATGCAGGTTTGGAGCAATGACGCGTATGAGAGCGTGGAACACAGAGTGATAGCTAACACTGAGAAAGAAAGGTTTTCCGTTCCATTCTTCTTCCACCCAGCGCACTACACCATAGTCGAGCCTTTGGAGGAGTTGACAAATGAGAAAAACCCTCCAAAATATAGGCCATACAACTGGGGCAAGTTTCTTGTCCGCAGAAAAGGCAGCAATTTCCAGAAACTGAATGTGGAGGTCATTCAAATTCACCACTTTAAGATAGCTTAAATGATATTTCAGATTCTGATAATTTATTGCCTTATGCATGTAAAAGCAGACTGATCTAATTAAGAATGTTTATGATCTGAGTCTGTTATCTAGTTTGCTGATAAACCTTAATTGTCTGAATTATGTATGCCAGTGGCATAGAATAAAATAAAAAAAGAGACATCGTTATCGTACTCATCTAAAAGATAGCCCGTAATCGGTTTTATTGCACTGATTGTGGATGGTAGTGTCATGGGATCTCCTACATTGGCGTGTTTTGGAGGGCTTTACAAATACCATAACGGGGAGTTTCTGCTGGGTTGCTATGGTTGCTTGGAGCAGCATCATATGCTGTATGTAGAGATTGCAACCCTGTTAATTGAAATGAAGGTTTTGGGGTGCAGTCATGAGATGAGCTGGTGTGTTACTCGAACTCATTGGCTCGTAAATATGGTTAAGGAAAGGCCATCATCCTTTCATAAGTACTTAATCGAAATACACTTGGTTCGGGGCATTTTGGTCTCAATAAATAAAAAAATAAATATTTACTAAAATATAGTTTTTAAAATTATTTACTAAAATAAATTATTTTAGCCACCGTGGTAGGATTGAAAGAATTGCTGCAAGCACCTATGATATATCTGTCAGGATTGAAAGAATTTCCAGAATTTGTCACATGGTATGACATGTTCGGATGTTATTATAGGTACAAACTTCTTCTCAAGATGTTGCAGGTACCAATGACACCGTAGCCATAGTTGATTTCCATTCGTTAGTATCTAAAGTCCAATAAGCATATATTGAGTTGAGTTGGTATATAATAGACGGAAACAAAAGGTTCATATGAAAAAATATAACTAAATGAGCTTTTGCTTAAGCTTCTAAAGATAATTAAGAGCACATGAACAATTATTTGATCCGTATCAAAGTTTGCATTAAATCCCTTACAAACTAATGGATGGAAACAAATAGCATGTCTTTCTACTAAAATGGGTTGGAATGCCTGTATATTTAATCTATGCAGAGTAGGTGCTCTATTCAACTATAGAGGATGTCCATGCATAACTTCTTAAAGTACTTCCCAAACAATTGGTTCTTTTTTTCAAGTTTTATTCTTAGCAATTCCTATGTTTGGAGCAAAATATTTTTTAGTTAGATCACGAATTAGAAATGTCTGGTGTAACGACCCGCCATGGTCTTTACACTTAGTGAAATCGTACTACTACTAGTGAACTAAGAAAATATTAAGTTGGATAACTCATACGTACAAATATAGATAAGAATAAAAATAACTAAATTTCTTAAATACAAAATAAAACGTCATATATGTACAGTCATCCCAAAAATAATATTCCCTAGTGCCGGTCAAGCACGGACAAAACCGTTACCTAAAATGGTAACCCTAACACGAGGATCAAACTCCCCGTCTCGCAGCGGTTACCTCAACTCCAAGCTAGCCCTGACCTGCTCTCATACCAAGTATGATCATCGCAGTTCCACCACATGGAAACAGAAAGGATAAGCTAGAATTCACAAATCAATCATACAAGTATAGAACAGTAATCTATACTACACAATCATCCAACCATCAATCATATTCATAGAGTTACACCATACACTCTATCCAATACTACTCATGCATAAAATACAATGCACCAATCATGAAGTCAAACACCATACTTCATCATATTAATAAAAATGCAATAAATGCATCTCATGACATATATCAATGCATATCAATCATCTAATGCGTCGTCACGCATACACCTAGGAGATCTCCGTAACAATAGAGCTGTATAAGTGACATTCCATCCTACCGAAACCACCCCAACCGTTTTCACGCCCAATGCGCCCACTAGGTCACAGCTAAACAGGATATATAATCCTCACTCAAGTTTACTCGGATGATGTCACTTACACAATTGGAAGTCCAGATCCACCGTCAGGTATAGCACAGCTGGGTACGGGCTTACCACGACCTTGGCATGCATTAACCAAGTCAATTGTGGAGTTCGCCCACCGACTATCCGCAAGGATCCACGCACCTTCCCGAGTACTTGGTTAAGGGAATAACCCTCGACCTCATACCCCGCTCCAACACTAGCTAAGGACTTAGAGGAGACTCACCCAACCCAGTGGCCTATCTGAGCACCACTCTCCCAAATCCAGTGGCCTCCCAGAGCACCACTCTCATATAT